GTGGTATCTCCTTTAAACCACAACACTCGACCAACTCGACCAAATCAGTATGCTATAGGTGCAGAATGAGTAACCATTGGGTTAAGACATGTAGAACTCCCAAACATCTTGTTGAACTCTATCAAGAGAGTTTGAAAAGAAAGAACCATGAGGCTCATTTGATCTATCAAGATAATGAAGATGATGTTGATCATGGACGAGATGATCATATGGAGTATGAAACCTCAGATTGCTTAAAAGAATTAAGTTGATTTCAACCAGAAACTTTTGTGTTTTCTTTGCTTTATGTTTCTTTGTTTCTTTGAATTTGTTTTTATTTCTTTGTCTACTTGAAACTTAATAAATGAATGATTTTCAATATGAAGATCAGTATGACAGAGGCTAATGCCACAGTAAAGAAAGTATTTACCGAGAACTTCACTCTTTGGCAAGACCAGTTAGGCCACCCCGGTTTGACCATGATGTGAAAATTGATATCTAATACAAATGGGCACACATTGAAAGAAAGAAGAGTTATCCCTAAGCATCTCACGTGTGTAGCCTGTTCACAAGGGAAACTCATTGTTAGGCCATCACCAGTCAAAGTGACTAAGGAAACAATAAACTTTCTAGAAAGGATACAATGTGACATCTGTGGACCAATACATCCACCTAGTTGGACGTTTAGATATTATATGGTCCTTATTGATGAGTCCACAAGATGGTCTCATGTATTTTTATTATCAACTCGCAACTCGGCGTTTGTGAGGTTACTTGCTTAGATAATTCGTTTAAGAGCTCACTTTCCAGATTTTCCTTTAAAGATTATGTGTCTTGATAATGCTGGTGAATTCATGTCCCAAGCGTTTAATGATTATTATATTCCATGGGAATAAGTGTAGAACATTCTGTGGCACATGTACATACACAAAACGGCTTGGCCGAATCCTTCATTAAACGCATACAACTAATAGCTAGACCATTACTTATGGGATCAAAAATCCTGGTCTCAACTTAGGGACATGTAGTTTTACATGCAGCCGAACTAATTCGCATCGGGTCACGAGCAAGACATATCCCATCTTAAAACATTTGGATGTGCCGCCTATGTACCAATAGCTCCACCACAGAGAACTAAGATGGGACCTTAAAGGAGGATAAGGATATATGTTGGATATGAATCTTCCAATATAATTAACTACCTTAAGCCAACCACATGTGATTTGTTTAAGGCCATGTATGTGGATTGTCATTTTGATGAATCCAAATATCCAACATTAGGGGGAGATAATAATAAGCTAGTAAAAGAAATTTCATGGTATCAACCATCTTTGTCTTCGCAAGATCCTCTGACTCAGGAGAGTGATTTAGAAGTCCAAAAGATAATACACTTATAAAAGCTAGCTAATCAATTGCCAGACACATTTGCTGATTCGAATAGAGTAACAAAGTGTATATACTAGCTGCGAATGCACCAGTTTGAATTGATGTCCAAGAAAGACATGGTCAAGTTTCTACAGAGTCTATAGCATGTTTGTAACGTGGTAGACCAATAGGTTCCAAAGATAATAACCCTCGGAAACTAAAGAAAGGTGCTCAAAATGAATATGTGGTCGAGGGAACCCTAGACATGGCCGAATCGTCCGAACCTTGGGCCGGTCGAACCTGAAGTGCCAAATAATGAGGTTTGGGACGCCAAAATTCAAAGTACTAATGGTCCTGATAATATTGAGATCTCAATCAATTATGCCATGTCTGGAACAATATGGAACAGAAAGAATGTCGACATTATATTTGCATGCAACGTAGCACTGGAAATTATGGACATGAACGAGGATCATGAACCAACGTATATTTACGAGTGCACTCAACGATCAGATTGGATCAAATGGAAAGAAGCTAAAAACATGGAGTTAAATTCTTGAAAGAAGAGGAATGTTTTCGGTCTAATAATTCGGACACCTCTTGATGTTAAACCAGTTGGACATAAATGGGTCTTTGTGAGGAAAAGAAATGAACATGGTAAAGTCGTGAGATATAAAAGATGACTGGTTGGACAAGGATTCTCACAGAGACCAGGAATCAATTATGAGGAGACATACTCCCTTGTGGTGGTTGCTTCTACTTTTAGATTCCTAATAAGTTTGGCCAAAAGAGAGAACTTAGACATGCGGCTAATGGATGTAATAACTGCATACTTATATGGTCCACTGGATAATGAGATATACATGAAAGTACCAGAAGGTATTGAGATGAAAGACAAAGCAAGTTCTCGAGAACAACATTGTATAAATTTGAACAAATTACTTTATGGATTGAAACAATCAGGTCGAATTTGGTATAATAGACTAAATGAGTACTTAGTAAAAGAGGGCTATAAGAATGATCCAATCAGTCCATGCATATTCATAAAGAAATTCGACAAGGGCTTCGTAATAATATCAATGTATGTTGATGATCTGAATATTCTAGGAACCTCTAGAGAAATTTCTCAAACAGCTGAATACTTTAAGAAAGAATTTGAGATGAAATATTTGGGCAAAACGAAATTATGTGTGGGATTGCAGATTGAACACCTTAAGGGTGGAATCCTTGTGCATCAAAAGACATATACAGAAAAGGTATTAAAATGATTTAACATGGACCAATCTCACCCATTGTCGAGCCCCATGGTCGTGAGGTCCCTTGGTCTGGACACGGACCCGTTTAGTCCTAAGAAGAACGATGAAGAGTTCCTTGGGCCCGAAGTGCAATACCTTAGTGCCATCGGAGCCTTAATGTATTTGGCAAGCCATTCTAGGCCGAACATATGTTTTGAAGTGAACCTATTTTCTAAGTTTATTTCATGTCCGACCCAAAGGCACTGGAACATGATTAAACATCTTCTTCGTTACCTACAAGGAACGAAATACTTGGGGTTATTTTATACTAACCAAACCAAAGAAGGGTTAATTGGTTTTTCTGATACAAGTTTTAATTCAGATCCACACAACGCTCGATCTCAGGCAGGCTATGTTTTTACACATGGTGGTATTGCTGTAGCTTGGCGGTCCATGAAACAAACAATGGTGGCCACATCATCCAATCATGCCGAGATGTTGTCCATCCATGAGGCCAGCCGTGAGTTAGTCTGGTTGCGGTCCATGACCCAACATATTAGAAGAGATTATGGGATGACTGAAGGCAAAGAAGAACCGACCATTATGTACGAGGACAATGCAGCTTGTATTGCTCAGTTTAAGGACGGCTACATCGAAGAAGATAGGATGAAGCACATTCTGCCAAATTTCTTCTTCACCCATGATTTACAGAAAGCCGGCGAGGTCCAAGTGCTACAAGTTCGTTCAAGTGACAATTCAGCAGACCTATTCACCAAGTCACTTCCAACCTCAACATTCAAGAATCTCACGCATCAGATAGGAATGCGTCGGCTTAAATACCTTCAGTGAGGTACAAAACAGGGGAAGTAATACGTATTGTACTCTTTTTCCTTATCCATGGTTTTACCCGGTTTTATCCCATTGGGTTTTAGGTTTTCCTTGGAAAGATTTTAATGAGGCAACATCCAAAGCGTATTACAACGGTTATGGCATCCAAGGGAGAGTTTTATGAACTATATTATGGATTGCTTTAACCGGCCCTTGGCCCGTCTGACCAGCCTGTCAATCAAGTGCTCTAGACGGCTGGACTCTTTCCTTTTTACTTAGGCGTCTAGTTTCCATTTTCCTTATGCGAGTAGATTTTGTACTATTTCCTTTTCCTAGTTGGTTTAGGTTTTTCCTTTTGTACTATTATCATCTAGTTCCTCTCGTATATCAGAGTAGGGTGACAATTCCTCAAAATGGAATAGGTAGGAATGGAATGCCGTGAACCCATGATTAGGCCTCGTTATAATTGGTGGTTTTAAATCCTATGCGAACACTCTTAATGGTTTATAATTTAATTTTTATCTAATATAGGTTATTAAATAAAAATAATATAAATGTTGTTTATGAATTATGGTAATTCAAATTATAAAATTGTAAAATAACACAATTTCTCAGTTATAAATTGTGATATTTCATTCATTTGATATATTATTAATTTAGAAATATTCAGTTTGTCCGTTTAATGCCTATAATTTTCCCAAACATTGGTTTTATTTAAGTGAAAATTGAAAAATTCATATATGGAAAATAAAATATGAATGTAAATCAAATGGATTTTTTTTACAGCAGCAAACTAACCAAGTAATTAGACATACCGGTTTGGAAATCCAAATTAGATAGATGGAACCAACATAAAACATAGTTGAAGATGAATTATTTACACCACGTACAAGCTTATCCGTCATAGTATTTTGTGCTTTCATATGTTTGATCCGAAAAATTAGGACGAACACCTCATTAGGTCGAAATCAAATGGAATTTGTAAGAGGAAAAAAATAATACAAGTAGGAATGAAGATACTTTGACATAAGTGAAAAAGATTAAAAAAATGGAAAGAAAAAGCAATAAAAAGAAGGTGGGGGAGCATGAATGTATAAAAACGGAAACGAATAATTGCAAAATATCTGAGCTGTTGCGTTACCAATATCTGCTGGATTCGCTACTGATTCTTAATTCTCTATGAACTTTTAATTCAAACCAAAAGCCCTAATTTTTCTTTAGAAAATTGTTTCAGCACAGCTAGAAAAATCAGTTGTCACCTTCCATGGCTTCTTAGACTCCCACATTCTTTCTTCTCCTTCTCCTTATATTTTTTTTTGTGAAGAGAAGGTGTCACAAAGTAAGAAAAAGGTACCTTTCAAAATCGAATATTCTAAGAGGGCCACGTTCTTGCTCGCGAGATATTATTCCCCCACACCTTTTTATTCCTCGTTTGTTATCTTTTTCTCCGTAATCGTTTTGTTTGATTGTAATGGCAATGTTAAATCTGAAACCGTGTTTGATGATGTGTGAAGCGATTGGATATAAGTGTTTGTCATGTTCTTTTTAACTTAAAAAATTTTGATTGGAGAGAATTAATAGTTAAATGTGGATTTAAAAGGTAACGTATACGAGAGGGTTTTTGAGTTCTCTCTTACGTTTTTTTCTCTGCTAATAAATCAAAAGTATCCATCAGAAATGTTCAAAGCTTGAGGAATCTTCTCTAAAGCATCGATTTTGATTCTATTCTTTGAGTAAAATCTTGTCTCTTCTCCTTCTTCATTTTTTCTGGGTTTACAGATTTGTCCTTTTTTTGTTGATGATGAGCTAATAATTAAAGTGATCTGATTTAATTTTAGTCAAAAGTCTCATTTGATCATTGTTCATAACCTGTTTTGTGTTTTTTTATAATCTGCAGGTGGAAATTTTTAAATTCTTGTGGGAGTTTATTTTTAATCTCTCAGGCTGATTCATCTTTATTATATATAAACAAGCCAAGATGGATCAGATGTCATCTGATAACATTAATGGACTCATATTAGCAGTCTCTTCAAGTATCTTTATTGGGTCTAGCTTCATCATCAAGAAAAAGGGTCTCAAGAAGGCCGGTGCATCCGGTGCCCGAGCAGGTCCTTTCTTCTTTAATTAAAACTTCTGTTTTGCAAGATTAGTTGTTAATGTTTTTCTTGTTGACTATTTACCATCAGGTGAAGGAGGACATGGATACTTATATGAACCATGGTGGTGGGCTGGAATGATTACAAGTAATAAGTCTTATAAAAAAATGTTCTCAAAACTACACAAGAATCTGTTTGAATTGTAATGAGAGATGTGTTTTGTGTTTTTTAGTGATTGTTGGGGAAGTAGCCAATTTTGCAGCCTATGCATTTGCTCCAGCTATTCTAGTAACACCTTTGGGAGCTCTAAGTATTATATTCAGGTATTCTTAATAATTCTTCAATACCTACATTAGTATCATTATACAAACTATGGTTATCTTGAAGACGAAAAGAAAACCACCTGTTTTATTGCAGCGCAGTGCTAGCTCATTTCATTTTACAAGAGAAACTACATATATTTGGGGTGCTTGGTTGTGTTCTCTGTGTTGTTGGGTCTACAACGATAGTCTTACACGCCCCGCACGAGCAGGAAATAAAATCAGTTAAGCAAGTTTGGAAGCTTGCTATTGAACCAGGTATATATATTATATGATCATAAGCACAAATTTTGTAAAGAGTGTGATATGAAAAGTAATGAAAGATTCTGTATGATCAGGCTTTCTGGTGTACTCTGCTGTGATTGTGATTGTGGTGCTTGTACTGATCTTCTACTATGCACCTCGCTATGGGAAGACTCATTTGATAGTATATGTTGGAATCTGCTCTTTAATGGGTTCTCTTACTGTAAGCTTTTCATCTCTCTCTATCTCTGTTAAGTATGTTTCCTCAAAGCTTTGTCTCTTGTGTTATTAGGTAATGGGTGTTAAAGCTGTGGCCATTGCCATAAAGCTGACGTTTTCTGGGATGAATCAGTTCAAATACTTCCACGCTTGGATTTTCGTTATAATAGTCACAGTTTGTTGCATTTTGCAAATCAATTACTTGAACAAGGTAATAAACAAAAAGCTTCCAACTTTCACTGATGATCACACTCTAATGATCTAATAATCTGTTTCTGGATTTCACTGTTGTATTGACAAAGGCATTGGATACATTCAACACAGCTGTCATTTCTCCGGTTTACTACGTTATGTTCACAACTTTCACCATTATAGCTAGTATGATTATGTTCAAGGTCAAATTCCTTTTCTTATCTCCCAAGTAAAACTCCACCTAACATCTCAGAACATGTTCTTAACCTCTCCACTTATGTGATTTTACAGGATTGGGCATCTCAAAGCGGGTTAAAGATCGCCACAGAACTGTGCGGTTTTGTCACCATTTTGTCAGGAACGTTTCTGCTTCACAAGACGAAAGATATGGGAAACAGTGGGAGTGCAAGTGGTCGTGGAGCTTCCTCTACGCCTAGAGACAATCCTGTCTTCACCACTTCAGGATCTGGTCGGAGCTCCAGCTCAGATAAAATAGTAGCCTCTTGACATTTTTTAAAAATCATCCAACTGTTTGTTAACGGTCCAGATTCTTCCATGTACCTCAAAAGCACAAGGATGTGTGTGTTGGTATGGTGATGATTTTGTTAGGAATATTTAACTGTTTGCTTTTTTATATTGTTTCCCACATGAAAGAAAAATTGTAACTTTACGATTCAAGAGACAACAGAAATTTTAGATTTATAATAATGGTGTGCAGATAAACTGAACCAAATCCAAATCGAAAACAATTTTTTTTTTTTTGTATAGATCTGGTTGGTAGTGTTCTTAAAGGTCCCTTGGAGAAACCAAAGTCTTGACATAAACTTTAGCGTCCCGACAACCATTTAAGCTGTTTGAAACTGGGTACTGGAACTTCCCAGTGGTACAGTTATAGAGAGCTAAACCGGATCTAAACTCCAAGAGAACCACTAACCCTCTTGAGATCCAAAGCGGTCTAACAAACTCAGTCAAACCGGGAATGCTCAAGAGTTTAGACCAAGATTCTCCTTCTCCAAACTCCTTCATCACCCAAACATCTGCGTTTGCTCCTTTGCAATAACACACCATGGAAAGACATCCTCTCAAATCTCCAAGCGTCAATGTAAAACATCCTCCCTTGCAGCAACCTGGTCCACGAAGCACCTTGAACACATCTCGTGACATATCGTATGATATGACGGTAGAAATTGATGATGATGAGTGAGTGGCTGCCCAGTTTAGTGTTCCGTTAATGTAGATGCCGGATCTTGATTTGTTAGCAAGAACAAGTCCACAGGGAAAACAAGTGCTTCTCCATAGCTTTTGTCTCGTTGAGTAAACCAATGCCTCTGTCTTCAACTGGTGTCTTTGTTGCAACAATGCAACTATCTTATAGTCATCTTCAGATTCATCATAACCGAATCCATAGTTTACAACAACCTCATCTCTCGTTTCAAGATCCGAACCAGCCAATCTTTTTTGAAGCTTGATGGTCGGGTTCCACAAGTAGAAGCTTTTGTTGTAATCTACATGGAAACAGACCAACCCATTGCAGGTCCCCACGACTTGGTAGTAATCTCTGCCTAAAAGCTCACCATCATGCTCATGAACGGTGGCTACTGGCTCATCATACAGAGAGTGGACGCAGCAAGACTTGAGATGGTACCGAGACGTTGTGATGACTCCGTATGGACTCTTCTTACAAGTGGTTGCCTTGGAGGCCTCCAACATCAGAGCGTGTTTCAGAGTAAACACAGTCTCAGATATCAAAGATCTCCATGAGGTGCAAACGCATTTGAATCGCTTCAATGACTTCACGGGTAGTCTTAAGAGAATCTCTTCCATCATTTCAGGAGGGAGATTAGGTGGAGAGAAGAAGCTCTTTGTGATGGGTTCCTCCATGAGTTTTGAGCAGAGGAACCTAGAGGAGCTTCTTGGCTTTCAACCAATGGTTTTGCAGCAGTTATATATATAAGAAAAAGAAAGTGGAGATTATTTTTCGTTAGTTATTTTACACAAGTGGGTGTGGGAACAGAGGAGATGCGTGTACGAAGATAATTTAAAATATGAATTTATAATGTTACATACACATACATTATGACTAGATATATATACGGATGATAAGATAGTGGGTGAAAGATGTTGACATTAGAAGGCAACTTGAGGACAATAAGCCTAATGGGTAGGACCAGAGGAAGTTACAGGACAATACAAGTTTGGCTCCTTTCTGTCAAATCTATTATAACATTTTTGTTTTTTCATGAGCATAAAGCAATATAAAGCTCCATCATTAGATTGACCGTGGCAGAAGTTATTTCATAAGTATTACAACAAAGAGTTGCAGATAGCAAACGAAAACAACGTTATGGAGATCTACACCGAAGACAAACCAAAGAAACCTGTCAAAGATACGTTAAGGATATGGAGTCAAGGACGTTCTTGGTACTCACTTTTGGGAGGTTTCATTGGAATGGAGCTCCTCACGACTTTGCTGAACAAGTATTTTCTCAATAGCATCCATGAAGCTTGATAAGTTTTGCCTGGTCTGTAAATCCAAGGAATTCGCTAGTTCCTGACATATTATTAGATCAAGTGATAAAATCGTTAAGCTTATTAAAACCAGAAACTAACATCCATTTTTTAGCAAACAAATGGTGAATATGTAATATCGAGAGAAGTATTGAAGGGTCTTACTTCTACTTTGCAGATTAGGCTCAGCGAAATTCCATTTGAATGATTATCAGAGTTCTTGAGAGATGCGAGCTTTAGTGGAGAATTCAGCAGCGGCCAACCATCAGAGACTTTTAAAAATGCATCAATATCTCCGGCTATATGAGCCACAATTGTTTCATCTTTGTCATAGTATTTGAACGTGTGCCTGTCATTGGATCACAAATCATGTAATGGGTCGGCTTGCACAAACAACTAAATATATTCAGCTCTCAGGCTACTGGAAAGGAAAGGCTCACCTGATTGTTTTCGAACTTCTCACCATAGATTCTCTTAAAGTGGTCAAAACAATTCTTTCTTGCACCTTGGCGACAAGCCACTGGAGTGAAGATCTTGTGTCTAGCAATGCAGAGTGTAATCTTATTTGCCTGCAGTTTTAAGATATGTTACTCAGTATTTAAGGATAACTTTTTTGCTTATACATTAATTGAACTGATGGAAAGCTATGTTACCAGAAGAAAGCTAGTATTAACTGAAATTTAGAAAACTGCAGATGCAGTAAATGGGCTATAAAGCCATAAATTATATACTTTTGAAACACAAGACCTAGATGATAGAAAACAGTCATCCCAGGGTTTTCTTGCCATTACATGAACTAGTTTAGCTCAAAAGGTACACACAACTGGAGACACTCAAACCAGAGGCTGAGTAACCTTTTGAAAACCAACCAAATTTATCCATCTTGTCTATGATTCCTTATTAGTCTAATAACTTAAGTAGTATAAAATTCAAGACTGATAAGTAAAACAAATTTCAGGACAACAGAAAGAAGCCAGAGCACAAACCTGAAAGAATCAGCAGCGTCAATGATGTCTCCTATGTATACATCATTGGGAAGCATCTAAGGGAGAAAAGTAGATTTCAGTATAATTCACGATAAGGAACAAGAAGTAACAGATTATTTATGCAGAGCATGCAACTCAGAGGCGTGTTCTTACCTCAACTTTTGTTATCTCCGTAGTTTTATCCTTAAGATAAATTAGCAATTCATGGATCAATTCAGATGCTTCAGTAGTGTGCAAGCCATTTAGTTCTGGAACATATGTTTGCAGTTGGAGCCTAATGAAGTTTCCATCAAACTCGAGAACCTTCAAGCCTATCAATGCATCCTCAACCTGTTCTGCAGCATCAAGCCTGAAGGTAGAAAAGATGAAGAACCCAAATAAAGTCTGTGTAAGGACGTAAATTTGAAACCACAGTGCATTACCTTTTACGTACAGAATCCAGATCTTCCAGTGACTTGAGAATCACCTTTTTCTCCTCAATCTGATTCTCAAGTTCAAACATCTGAAAAAAAAAAGCATGTGAGAAAGAGTGTACAGAAACTAAGCAGAGAAGTGCTAGTGCTAATCTTTTTTTTCTACTAAAACCGAAATGAACTCATCTCTGCACAACATAAAACAACGTGAAGGCAACAACCAAACATGCTTGTAGAGATTTTAGGGTGCAGTAGATGTCATTTTGATGCTAAGTCTTGGCCACTACTAAAAATATCACAGACGGGGAAGGTAGAATAGAAAGGAGAGTAGGAGAGCATAGGTTGTTTTGGCTTTTGCGTGCTTGGGAAAATTAGTTTGGTACTATCTGCCACTTAAGGTCTAGTCAATCAGACTAAGCAACAGTTGGAAGATTATATGTTAGAAAGATGAAACTTTGTTGAGAAGTTCAGAGACACGCACCTTAAATTTGTCGTCATAATCCGCATCACATACATCCATTGAGCTGCTGGATGGTGGGTTCTCTTTTGAGTTTTCCACATCCTAAATGAAAACCACAGACCCCTCAAACATATCCATTTTGATTCCATAAAAAAAAAAAAAAAGTGTACTTTACATGGAAATCATGTATTCATCTGGGTAAACTCCTTTCAAAGTATTATGCAAAGGGGTATGAACCTGAGAAGACAGGAAATGGAGAGAGAATAGAAGACCTTCAAGATCCGAATCCAGCCTAGTGGAATCTAACAAAGACAAACTCATAATATGAAAAATAAAAAGACTTGGGATGTCATATAAATCTAAATAACAAACCTTGGGCATGAGACATAGAAAGACGTTCAATTTCTTGAGAAACCTTGGCGCTTTCAGCCTCAGCAGAATGAAGCTCTTTTCTTAAGTACTCCAAGTAAGCATCTGCGAGATTCAGCATCAATTAGATTCATCTTTATATCATACAGTAAACAATAACAAAGGAAGAAGAAGCATACCTGAATCTTCAACATCCATTGAATCAACATAATAGCAATAATCTCCAACAATCTCTTTCACCTTTGTCTATGCAAACACACACAAAAATTAGCATTATTCAGTGAAGAGAGTTTTTCTCAAACTCGCAATTACCTCAAGCTGGAGAGCAAAATCTTGAGCCAACGACTCGGAATCGGAAGGAATCGATTCTCCAGGTTCATCTATGCAATTACGGTGAAGGTACTCGAGCTCTTTCACGCGGCTGAATATGGCGGACAAATAAGATGAAAATCAAGGAATGAACAAGAAAGGAGAGAGAGAGAGAGAGAGAGAGAGAGAGAGAGAGAGAGAGAGAGAGAGAGAGAGAGAGAGAGAGAGACCTGCGAATCTCTTGAAGGTCGAAAGATTCGTCATGGGGATGATCTTCCATGGCAAGAAGCAGCTTCTGCTAGTGAGGAAGTGAGAAACTTCAAACTTGAGAGAAGACGGAAGACGATTACGATTTTCAATTTTCAATTTTCAAATGGGAAAGGCACAATAGACCTGTAACAAAACCTTGTAAAATGCGGTGCTAGGTTATAGCTCCCTTCAACATTAAACCCCAAAACTATTGTTTGTGTCAATCAGACCCATATCATTCGATTTATAGCCCATACTGGTTCAATTTATTGCCAATTGCAATTCCGGTTCAGTTCACTCATGTTTAAAACCGAATTTTGTACATGGCTTTCCAAAAACACCTTACATGATTTTTTCTTACTACTAAAAATATTAAGTTACTTTGATTATTCTATTTAATACACTCTTTGATTAGACGTTATGAGGGCCTTTGATCTCGGAATGAACCATATGTCCGAAACTCTGAACAAACATGGCGTGAGAAGAAACAAACCGAGGAGTTAGATGTCAGGGATGTGAGATCGAGACGAGACTCAAGACAAGGGAAACAGGGATGTTTCATATGAACATCAATCCAGTTCAAAAAAGCGTCAACACAGTGATGAGAAACCTCGTCAAACAAGCTCCAGTGAAGTTGTTCCATATGAATACACTTCAGGTTTAAGGAGAAATGACACTTGTGGAAAGGAGAGTACGATGTTAAGTGAAGTGAATGGTGTGAAGAGGCTAGCTAGTACTATTGTTACGCTTATACGGGATCTTACCATGGAGGAAAATGTTACCAAACGTACCATGGACATCACGAGATCTCTTTCCTTTAATTCCCTAAATGATCAAGACCGGTCACTAGAGGAAGGAAATGAACAAATGATTGACGCCTTAGAGGACATGGGAGTCGAAGAACAACTGAATGGAGAGATGATGGAGGGTGAAGTTGATAAGGACGATTTACTGGGTTTGGAGCTCGAAGAGATGGAAGACAATGTGACACAGTATCAAGGCAAATCTAGCAGATCAAGATTAGAGCAGAAAGATCAAAGGAACAGTAGACGTGGTCCTCGTACGACTGTCCCATCAGGTCTACCGTGTAAGAAATTTGACAGAGATCTCCTCGCAAGCATAATTCTTCTTCTCATGGAGCTCATATGGCTGGAGAATTCGGAAAGTCTAAGAATAGACACGTGGGTCTCAAAAAACAGAGAAATGGCTCGTCCAAAAATGATGGTTCGATGGGATCCAAAAACCCATCCCCCCCATCATCCATGAGGACAATCAGTTGGAACTGTCGAGGGATTAGGAACGACCTCACAGTTCGATGTCTTACATAGATGTGTCAGAAGCATCACCCACGACTTGTGTTCCTTTCTGAGACGAAGAACAAGAGGCTGTTGTTGCAAAACATTCAGGCCGATTTAGGATTTGAACGCTTGTTTACTGTTGAGCCTCTTGGACTCAGCGGAGGTTTAGATTTATTTTTTATGGATGATTTTCAAGTTAATGTTTTATTTTCGAATAACAGAATAATTGACACTGAGGCAGTCATTGATGGAATAAAAGTCTACATGACGTTTGTTTATGGGGATCATGTACTAGAACGAAGAGAATTAGTCTGGGAACGTCTTACGTGTTTCTCAGCAACAAGAAATGACCTTGGTTTATGATATGTGACTTTAATGAAATTATCTGCCATGAGAAGAAGGAAGGTGGTAGACAACGCCCATATAGCTCATTCCTACCTTTCAAGGAAATGCTGAGTGATTGTGGTATGTTGGATTTCCCTTATACAAGGAACATGCTATCCTGGAAAAGAGCAGAGAGGACTACAGTTAGATGCCGTCTTGACAGAGATGTTGGGAATGAGGACTGGCATGAGAAATTCCCACACTCTAAAGTGCAGTATATGAGGCTCTGGGGATCGGATCATCGTCCGATCTTAACTTACATTCTTAAAGAGAAATCGAGAAGATAAAAAAAAAATCAAATTTGACAAGAGATGGCTGGATAATGAGGAGCTCGGGCAAGTAATACTTGAGGGATGGAAATAACCGGACTTTCCACCAGACGCAAGTATCATGGAGCATATTGCAATTTTCCGGCGAGCCTTATGTGACTGGAAAAGGCAACATAATCTGAATTCGGAGAGAAGTGTGGAGGAGTTGAAAGAAAATGTGGATAAACTATCTTCAAACGATGACGCAACACTACAGAGGAGATTACCGCAACTTTAAAGGAACTACCTGACACCCTTAAGGCGGAAGAGATGTTTTGGAAGCAAAAGTGTAGGGTACTTTGGTTAAGGAAAGGAGATAGAAATACTAAATTTTTCACGCCCTCACGAAGCAGAGAAGAGCGAGAAACAAGATTACACAATTACTAGATGAGGATGGGAATGTTATAGAGGATGAGGAATGAATTGTAGCTATTGCTACAAGTTATCTTAGACACATCTTCCAATCATCAAACCCTAAGGAAATAGAGGAAGCACTATATGAGGTGTCTACAACCATTACATCAGCAGACAATGAGAATCTTACAGCTCCGGTCACTGAATGGGAAGTTAAATTGGCTCTTTTTACAATGCATCCAGAGAAAGTCCCAGGGCCAGATGGAATGACTGCGTTGTTCTACCTAAAATTTTGGGATAGTGTAAATGATGATCTAACTCTTATGGTTAATCAATTCCTGTTTGAAGACACATTACCTATTGGTTTAAATGATACCAACATATGTCTCATTGTGAAAGTAGATAAGCCGAATCAGATGAGCCAGCTACGTCCCATCAGTTTATGTAACGTTAGTTACAAGATAATATCTAAGGTCCTATGCCAAAGGTCAAAAAAGGTTCTACCAAATCGGATTTCAGAAACTCAGTCAGCCTTTGTTACTGTGAGACAGATATCTGACAACATCATGATTGCCCAGGAGTTGTTTCATGCTCTAAGAACCAAACCTTCATCGAGGCTACTCTTTGCTGATGATAGCCTATTCTTTTGTAAGGCAGAGCCCCGTGAATGTGAAGAAGTAATGAAAGTGGTCAAGAAATATGGACAAGCTTCAGGATAATGTATTAACTTTGATAAATCTTCTTTACTCTTTGGTAAAAGAATCGGTCAGGATGTTAGACAAGAGATCAAAGACACTCTTGGGATCCAAAATGAAGGAGGAACGGGAACATACTTAGGAATCCCAGAGGATATCAGTGGGTCCAAATGTAAGCTCTTT